TAGTATTGTTGTGATATAGGGTTAATTGTGGGGGTCAATTAGAGAAAGTTAGAGGGTAACAAAATTAGTCGGTTAAGAGGTGGTTAACACTGTTCTATATAAGAACAGTGTACGCATGTATTAAAAACAGCAGAAATAAAAATCTTCTTCCTTCCTTCTCTCTAGAACTTTCCTCCATTGTAGATTCATTTCATTGCATGTTTCAATTACTGGAGATTTACACAGAATCTATGTAAATTGACATGGTATTAGAGCGGCGAGACTGAGGACGTTAGCTCCGACGAGGAGTTCCGGCGAGTCAGCTAAAGTTTGGAGAAATTTACCGGAAACGAAGCAAAATTTCAGATCGCCGTGGCAGGAAACGAGGTAACCTCACTCGACCACAATCATCCTCTATTTCTTCAAGCAGCAGATGCACCAGGTCTAGTTTTAGTTCCAATTAAGCTCACAGGGCCAAAAAATATGCCTTGTGGAGTAGGGCAATGAAACTAGCACTTATAGGGAAAGGCAAGCTTGGATTTGTAGATGGAACGTGTGTCAAAAGCTCGTATAGAGGAGAACTAATAGCACAATGGGAAAAATATGATACGATTGTACTGTCGTGGATTGGAAGCACAGTCTCTAATGAATTGATGTCGAGTATAGTTTTTGCACCTAGTGATAGGAAAGTATGGAGTGATTTTAAGGAGAAATTTGATAGATGTAGTTTGACTAGAATATATCACCTCTAGTTAGAGATTGCTAGTCTTAAACAAGGCACTGATTCTGTGACTACTTACTATAGAAAGATGACAGATCTATGTGTTTTGGTACCTCTGCCTTCATGTGATTGTGAAGAATCGAGGCCTTCAGTAGAACACCTGAGAAATCAAAGACTTTTGACATTTCTCATGGGCCTAAATGAGAGCTACAGCAATGTAAGAAGCAATGTTCTTCTCAAAAGACCAGTTGTGACTATAAATGAAGCATATGCTATAGTGACACAGGAGAGTCAACGAACACTAGGTGTAGTTAACACAAATAGAGATCCATTGACTATGCTTGCAGGAAAAGGACATGTTTTTAAGCCTAAGATGTTTGGGCTGATTTGTGAACATTGTGGCTACAAGGGACATTTGAAGGAAAATTGTTACAAAATTGTTGGCTATCCAGCTGACTTTAAAAGCAAAAAGAAACCTCAGCCAGGAGGAAACAGATCTTTTGCCAATGCTGCAAGAACTGAAGAAACAGGAGGGACAAGCATTCAGCCACAAGGCCATTTCCTCACTGAAGAACAATATCAGCAGCTTATAGGGCTTCTGAACAAACAAGGAGGTGAAGAATGCTCCACAAACATGGCAGGTATTATGACTTTACTATCCATTATTCCTTTAACTAGTTGGATAGTAGACTCTGGGGCAACTCATCATATTGCTCATGATAAGAATATAATGAGTGATATAAAGCAATTTGGAGGACAAGGAGTTCAATTGCCAACAGGAAATAAAGCAAAGATAATGTATACTGTAAAAGCTACTATTTTAGGAGGCAAATGTATAAAGGATGTATTACATGTGCCAGATTTCAAGTTTAATTTGCTGTCAGTAGCAAAACTCGCCAGAGACCTCACTTGCACAGTGAAGTTCTTCCCTGATTTTTGTGTGTTGCAGGGACTCTACAATGGCAAGGTATTGGGGATTAGTAGAGAGTCTGATGGTCTATACATACTAAGGGAATATGCACGAGCAGCAGACATAACAGTAGGAGCAGTAATAAAAGAAGAGCAAACACAACTTTGGCACTACAGACTAGGACATGCATCCTGGAATTCTATGCAACATATATCATCTCTACAAGACAAGATATGTGCAGGGAATCCAGAAATTGTAGTGTTTGTCCTCTAGCTAAACAAAGTAGATTGCAGTTTCCTAACAGTGTAAGCAAGTCTAAAGTAGTTTTTCAGCTAGTTCATTTAGATGTGTGGGGACCCTACAATATGATAGAAAGTATTACTTTGTGACTATGGTTGATGATTTTACTAGATACACATGGGTATGCTTGATACAATCTAAGTGTGAAGTGTATGTTGTATTGAAGAATTTTATTGCAATAATAAAGACACAGTTTTGACATTGGAATCAAGACCCTGAGATCATATAATGGCACAGAATTATTTAATGCCAGGTGTAATGAATTACTGGCTGAAAATGGGATCATACATGAAAGTAGTTGCGCATAGTTGAGAGAAAACAAAGGCATATTCTAGATGTTGCTAGGGCACTGAAGTTTCATGGTGGAATACCTTTGAAGTTCTGGGTGAATGTATTAGGACTGTTGTATACTTAATCGATAGACTCCCAACACCAGTGTTGCAAGGCAGGACACCATATGCAATGCTCTATGGGAAGTCAACTATCTTAGATCATTTGAGATTGTTTGGATGTCAAAGTTTTGCTTGTAATCTTCCTAAAGGAGACAACTCCCAGAGCAAGGAGATCAGTGTTTATTGGATATTCTGAGACACAAAAAAGTTATAGACTATATGATCTTGATACTCATATAATCTTTGTTAGCAGGGATGTCAAATTTCAGGAGTATGTTTTTCTCTTTAAACAGACTTCTAACAACCATGATGAAGAAGCATTGTTTTCAAAATCTGTTGAGCCTGTTTTTTATCTCAATCCACCTCCACAATATACACCATCTACCTCACAAGATGAGAAAGCCAACTTTACACCTATCCTGACAAATCCTGAAATAGCATCAGATGCTTCTGAGACTGTTGCTAATAATAAAGGCCAAAATGCTCTTTCCCAAGTGGAGGAACCAGCTTCCCATAATGACATGTTGATCACCTCACCTTCCCCTATTGACAAACCCTCACCTGCTACACCTGTTGAAAACACCAGACCTCACAGACAAATCAAGCAACCACTTTGGCTCAAGGATTATGTCACCACTAAACTACCAGGAAAACATATATATCCCCTATCTAACACTCAACTTTCAACTGCATATCAGACATATCTTCAAGCTTTTTCTGCTTCAGTGGAGCCTACATTATACAAAGAAGCAGCAGATCAAGACTGGGTACTTGCTATGCAACAGGAAGTCAAAGCTTTAGAAGACAATCATACATGGGAGATTTTAAATCTTCCACCTGGTAAACAGGCTATTGGGTCCAAATGGGTGTACAAAATTAAGTATAAAGCCAATGGTGAGGATGAAAGGTTTAAAGCTTGATTGGTAGCCAAAGGCTACACACAACAGGAAGGCTTAGATTATCATGAAACTTTTTCTCATGTTGCTAAGATGGTGACTGTCAGAATTGTTATTTGCTGTTGCAGCATCTAAAGGCTGGCCTCTTTTTCAAATGGATGTCAACAATGCCTTCCTACAAGGGGACTTATGTGAGAAAGTTTACATGCAGCTACCTCAGGAATTTCACAGTCAGGGGGAGTCTAAAGTATGTCGACTGCTTAAATCCCTCTATGGCCTAAAGCAAGCCTCAAGGCAATGGAACATCAAGTTAACACATGCACTATTACAAGCTAGTTTCACTCAGAGCTCTTATGATCATTCATTATTCACCAAAAGGGATAAGGCAGATATTGTCATTGTATTGGTATATGTGGATAATCTTCTAATATCAGGAAGTAATAGTAGTTTGATACAGGAGGCAAAGAAGACTCTACACAGCAACATTAAGATGAAAGACTTAGGGGAGCTTAGATACCTCCTAGGAATTGAAGTGATGAGATTCAACAAAGGCATTTTACTCAATCAGAGAAAATATGCCATGCAACTAATCTCGGAAGTTGGACTAAGTACTTGCAAGCCAGTATCCACACCAATGGAACAAAACCACAAGCTTACCACGGTTGAGTATGACAAGCATGTTGGCAATGTTAATAATGCAGAGTTGCAGGAAGCAGGCAGCTATCAAAAACTAATTGGCAAGCTATTATATTTAACAATCACAAGGCCAGACATATCCTTTGCAGTCCAAGTGTTGAGCCAGTTCATGCAACATCCTAAAGAGTCACATATGGAAGCAGCTCTAAGGGTTGTCAAATATGTTAAAGGGAGTCCAAGTCTGGGAATTCTACTAAAGGGTGGAGCCACTGATGAGCTCACAGCATACTGTGACTCAGATTGGGCAGCTTGCCCAAACACTAGGAGGTCAGTGATAGGTTATGTGGTGAAACTGGGTGATTCTCTACTGTCCTGAAAATCCAAGAAGCAGCAAACTGTTAGTAGAAGCTCTGCAGAAGCAGAATACAGAAGCATGGCAGCAGCTGTAGCAGAGCTCATGTGGATGAAGGGTCTATTGGAAGAAATAGGAAACAAAGTGAAGGAACCTATACATCTACATTGTGACAACAAGGCAGCATTACAAATTGCAGCAAATCCAATTTTTCACAAAAGAAGAAAGGACATAGAAATCGACTGTCATTTTGTAAGAGAGAAGATCAAGGAAAGAATAGTCACAACTAACTACATTCCCACAAAACAACAGATGGCAGATCTAATGACAAAAGGACTTGGAGCAACCCAACACAAGTTACTCTTGGACAAGCTAGGAGTGCTCGATGTATTCCACCCTCCAGCTTGAGGGGGAGTGCTGTGATATAAGGTTAATTGTGGGGGTCAATTTGTAATTAGTCGGTTAAGAGGTGGTTAACACTGTTCTATATAAGAACAGTGTACGCATGTATTAAAAACAACAGAAATAAAAATCTTCTTCCTTCCTTCTCTCTAGAACTGTCCTCCATTGTAGATTCATTTCATTGCATGTTTCAATTACTGGAGATCTACATAGAATCTATGTAAATTGACAAGTATAGGCCAAGGTGAGATGGTGGATGATAAACATAATACACGATACATGTGTTGGTACAAAAGGAATAGCCTTTAGAGGAGGAATTTAACATCAACATAATTTTTTTTTTGTCGAGCAAACTTATTAACATGAATTGAAAAGACATAAGTAGAAGAAAATAACTATGCACCAAGTTGTGAAAACTAGAAATTCATCCTTGCTTCACATTTCAACAGTGAAAAAACTTCAGAAAAAAAAATAGACTTGAGTAGCCCACCAAAAAAGGAGCCACTGTCGTTATGATATAGCCAAAAAAAAAAAAAAAAACACCCTCCCCTTCGATATTCATTTACATATGGTTTACTAAAGAATTAAGAAAAACAATGGAAAGGAATTAAAGGCTCTTGTCATTAATTAACTCTCCTCCTTCTTCATCCTTCTCTATAAAGAGGACGCTTTTAGCTTTCACCAAATGAGCTTTGTCTCATTGGTAGCCTTTTTTTTCTTTTCTTTTTTTCTGTTTACTTTAATTATTTGATGTTTGTAGATAATTGATGGAATGAGCTTTCTTCGATCCATCCTATAGTGTTACTTTTTTTGGGGGGGGGCCAATTTGTTCAGTCAAGCAGCAGCTACCGTGTCTCTGGGAAAAGGGTAATTTTGTGTTTTACCGGGAGAGTTACTGGAATTTCTCTGGTCATTTTTTCTCAAGGCCTTTACAGAAGCTGAATGATTCAATCTTTTCTCCTCGGATTCATCCATTTCTATCTGTTCTTGCCTGCACTCTTCACTACAGAATGGAGTATCCCCTCTACATCATAAAAACATAGAACAATCAAATTCTTGTACTCATTCAAATGTCCAATATCGTAAATAAAAACCTAACCACAATTTGCCAATCCACGCTTGCTATAACCAATTTATCACTTATATATGATCTGGTCTATTAGTAAACAAGAATTTCTTTACTCAGTTTCTTTATAAAGATTGCTTTTTCTCTAAACATAATTTTAAAAGATGACCAGTTGCGAATTTAAGAAAATCCACCCCCCACCCCACCCCACCCATGAAAAATTTCAATTTCATTTGACCTATGTAAAGTATGAAGCAAAAACTAACCTGTACATGAAGATGTCTTTGTTACTACCAAGTTGTTTCTTGCAAAGAAAACAAGCTTCCAAGAAATGGGGTTGTTGTTCTTCAAATCTAGTTTCACAAAACCTTCTGCCACCAGCCAATTTTGGAGATGACATTGAAGAAGAAGAAAAAGAGGAGGAGGAAATGGATGAAAGATTCCTAAGGCTACTCTTCCTTTGTAAAGAAGTATAATAAAGAGGCCTAGAAATCAATGGGTTGTGATTGTGATGATTGTTCTCTGAAATCTCAGCTTCTATTATAGCTAGAGAGGCAAGACCATTGTTTTTGTCAAAGAAAAAAGGACCTCTTCTTGTTGTAGTGTCCATTTAATTTCCTTGTTTGGTTTGTAGAGAGAATGGGAAAGTGGAAAATGTTTGGAGAAATGGGGTTTGGAAGAGAGGTGGGTTATAAAGAAAGGTTGGGTAGATGATTCCTAGAGACAAGTGTAAAGTATTAAAAAAACCACGGTTTCTGAATTTGGTGCAAGTGAATCTATTGGCGAAGAATTCCTTGCATCTTCCCCTATTTTTTTATTCCTTTTAATTATTGTATACACTTCCTACAAATATATCCTTATTTTTTGTCATTATTACATCTTTACCATTATAGTACAAGAAACATAAGCTAAATTAATTTATACTTTATAGAACTAAGAAGGTTAGATGGCATTGAATTGTAATATTAGGAGATATGGAGGGCAAGAAGTAAAAGAAAAGGTACTGAAGAAATTGTCCAAATGTGGCCTGGAGCTGGTAGTATTTCCAAGACTTGCGACCTAACGGCACATGAGATGCTTTGCCTTCTAAAGCGCAAAAGCTACAACGGGCCGAGCAGGATGCGGGCCCCTCAGACCGGACCCACTCCATTCTTTTGGGCTTTAATTTTAAAACCATGTTACCCTACAAGAGATATTTTGGGGCCGTTAAGAAAAATATCAATTTTATTACTATGAAATAGTAGTAATTATAATTTATTTAATTAATTATACTAATGTACCACCAATTTTTAGGTGAATCGAAATACGTTAATTAAATTAAGGAAATTATTATATATTGAATAAATATGTGATATATTAATTGAATTGGTACCAAATGTTTATGTGAAGTATCAATATTATTGTGCTTTGGGAAAGTTTTGCCCTTTCTCCACTTGCTTAAAACTAGGAATTAGTGGGAGATTTTGCTCAAGTCCGGAACCGAAATGTAGTCTTTTTGGACTCAAAATACTTAATTAGGTGGGAAAAAATTTAGTGACCAAAATATGTAAAATTCAGTTATGAACCACGTTTTACCTTAACGTCCGTTTGGCATGTTAAGATAAAACGTGGTTTAATACTGTTTTTAACCTAAAACATGGTTTAATACCGCATTTTACATAAAATGCCTTTTAATACGGCGTTTTACATATTTTGTGGGCCCACCAATAACTCTTCTGCGCTTAACTGTCATAACAATAATTTCAAATATGTAAAATGTCCTTTTAAACTGCGTTTTACTTTCAAGAATTTGACCCCCGCTCCCCCCCCCCCCCCCGGATTGGGCATTGCCTTATTTAAAGGCGTTAAGGGTTTTGAGAAAAATCATTAAGAAATACTCCAACTTCGTGATAAATTTTTCTTGTTGTTAAATTCTCAAGCTTTTTTTCATAATGTCTGAAGAGCGAAAAGTAAGGGTTTCATTATATTGGGGGAGGGGGGTGAGATTGTGGTGGCGAATAACTCGGTGAGCTATAGTTTATCTCCACAGAGTCATGCTAAGTTGCCACTTACAATGGAGTACGATAGACTAGTATCGTTGTTATGAAATAAAATGAGGTTGAGCAAACATTCGTTGAATCTTAAAATAACCGGAAGATATTCGTATTCTGTGACTCCGCAAGAGGTTTCTTGTTACGCTGAGTTTAACATCGAGGATGATGAAACTCTGAGAGATTTTTTAGGGACTTTGGATGAATACCGGGAACTTATTTTGATAAAAATGTTGGAAATGTACGTGAAGGTTAAAGACGTTCGCAACAATGATGTTGCGCAAAGCAGGGATAACCCTCAATCATCGGGTGGTTATTCTGGAGCAGTTTTAGCCAACAGGATCCGGCTGAAAGAGTGTGGCTGGATCTAAACTTATCTCCACGGGCGAACGAGGAGCGAGGAAATAATTTCTTTCCTACTTTACATAATCCACAGAACGACTGGTAAACTTCAATTTTCCTTTGTGTTACGATGTTTATTTTTGTTGTATTGAATTTGTATTAACACTAATATATTCCATAGGGGGTACCGTCCAGATATGAATTTTACAAGTTATGACCCCACGCCCAGTTGGAATATGCATAGTTTTGGTGTGTTGGATCACGGTGGTCCATCCGGGAGTCATCACCAACAGGATAATATCCATCATGGAATGTCAACACATTACGACTTGTAAGTGAAGTGATATAGCTATATGTAAAGTATTTATCAATTTAAGTAGCTTATTATTTTGTTGTTTGTGCAGTGAAAACAAGCAACTTGATGGTCCTGACCTCACTCAGTTGCCCGTAGATAACGTATTTACTCGGGATTGGGCAGATGCGCAGAGTCAGAAAGATAATAGTGATTATGACAACAATGCCGGTGAGTCTGGAGATGACACACCCTTCCCTGACGAGGGTGATGATGAGGAGGAAGAGAATGTCGAACCTGAGCTGATGAGGGAGCATGCTCCACCTCCCGTTAGACCAAGAGTGTACGAGTCTCACGTGCCATTTCGTTCAAGGAATATTCCCTACCTTGATAATTTGCCAAGTATGCCGGATGCGGATGCCCTCACAAGCGATCTTGACGAAATTCGGACAACAATGTGGGATGAGTCTAGACCGACAGTGCTGGCAAAGGGCATGTTTTTTTCCGATAAAGCTCGCCTAACCAGGGCTTGTAAAATGTACATCGTAAGAGAGTGTCGTGAGATGATAGTATGGGAGTCAAGTCCAGAGGTATACAATGTTGTTTTCCGTAGATGGTTTACGGGTTGTCACTGGATTCTGCGTGCGGCCAAGAAGGAAACAGGGTTGTAGAAAGTGGGTAAATATATTGGCACCCATAATTGTAAAATGGACACATTCAATGAGAATCACTTCAACTTGGATGTTGACTTGATTTCTCTTCAACTGATTGCACACATTGAAGTGTCCATTGGGTACAAGATCAAAGAGTGTATTATATCCGTCCACCAGGAATATGGGTGTACTATTACCAAAAGAAAGGCATATCTCGGGCGCAAACGTGCATTTGAAATTATTTATGGGGACTGATAAGTCATTTGCATCTCTACCCAGGTACATGGCTGCACTGAAACACTTTAACCCCGTGACTATTGTTGAATGGAAGCTTGAGCAGAGTGTAGGAATACCGGAATATATATTCATATACGTGTTCAGGGCATTTAAACCAGCAATTGATGGTTTTGTGCATTGTCGTCCGGTAATTTCCATAGACGGTACTCATGTCTATGGAAAGTATGATATTAAGTTGTTGATCTCCCTTGCAGTAGATGCTAATGGACAAATATTTCCACTAGCTTTTGTCATCTGTGCCAATGAAAGCCAAGAGACGTGGACGCTATTTTTGAACCACTTGAAGCAGCACGTTGTCAAACAACGTTCAGGTATTTGTCTAATATCTGATCGGCATGGTGGTATATTAAGTTTTGTAGAGCATTTGCCTGAATGGCAGGAACCCTATGCATACCACCGTTACTGTGTGAGGCACCTGAAGGCCAATTTCCAGAAGAAATATCCCAACAAGGACTTGCATGATTTAATAAGGATGGCTGCAACTGATCACCAACAGTGCAAATTCAAGAGGCGCATGGAATCAATCTGGCAGTTAGACGAAAAAGCCTAGAATTGGTTGATGGGACATGCGTTTCACAAGTGGACATTGCATGCGGATGGTGGCAGATGATGGGGAACCCTAACTACAAATGTGTCGGAGTCTTTCAACGGGTTATTGAAGTCTGCACGTGGATTGCCTGTCACTGCCATGGTCCGGATGACATTCAAACAGATGGATGAGAGGTTTGTTGAGAGGAATAGAGGTGCATCGGAATTGATGGAGAGGGGTGTTTAATTTATGCCAACAACTGTCGAATAGTCATCAACGGAAAACGACTGGTCCCAGCCAGTACATTCTCATCCTCTGGCCGGAAAGCATTGAGCCGCTGCAGCATGTCCAGGTACTGCACACATGTCATCTCTCTCATGCAAGGCGGCAGAGCAACAGGGTGTCCATCAACGGGCAGCTCATATAAAACGTCCACGTCCTGCAGTGTGATAGTCGCCTCGCCAATGGGCAGGTGGAATGTGTGCGTCTCCAGTTTCCACCGCTCTATCAGGGTCGTGACCAAAGACCAATCGAGCTGCAGTCGCCCGATCTCCAAAATCCTGTAGAAACCCATCTCCCGCAGGCATGTGACTACATGGGGATGGAAAACTCTGTCATGCAGAAAGTCCCACATGTCGTACACTCTCCTGACGCAGAGAGTCTGGGTCAGTAACTCTCCCTCCCATATGTGGGCGGACCTATGATCGCCCTGTAACGATAGTAGCTCATCGCTGGAAGGTCCGGGATGAATAGGCGGCACCTCCATGTCGTTTACTGTAAATTAAACAACATTAATTACCTGTTAGTTCTATAATTTGATATGTTTGTTTGTAAATTAAATACTTAATTTTTATAATTATATAATATTTAATTATTATGTATTCACATAAGGGTTTCAGGCTCGATATTTGAGGCCCAGTAGCACCAAGATATCCTAAATTCTTCTATGTGTTAGTTTTATTATTTTACATGTTAGTTTTATAATTTTATATGTTTGTTTGTAAATTAAATAATTAATTTTTACAATTATAAAATATTTAATTATTAAATATTAACATATGGGTTCCAGGCTCGATATTTGCGGCCTAGTAGCACCAAAATATCCTGAATTCTTGTATGTGTTAGTTTTATTATAATTTTATATGTTAGTTTGTAAATTAAATAATTAATTTTTATAATTAAATATTCACATATGAGTTCCAGACTCGATATTTGCGTCCTAGTAGCACCAAGATATCCTGAATTCTTGTATGTGTTAGTTTTGTTATAATTTTATATATTAGTTTGTAATTTCAATAATTAATTTTTATAATTAAATATTCACATATGGGTTCCAGGCTCGATATTTGCGGCAATAGCACCAATTTATCCTGAATTCTTCTATATGTTAGTTTTATTATTTTACATGTTAGTTTTATAATTTTATATGTTTGTTTGTAAATTAAATTTATAATTATAAAATATTTAATTATTAAATATTCATATATGGGTTCCAGGCTCGATATATGCGGCCCAGTAGCACCAATTATATGTTGACTATAATTGGACAGAGTTTGTG